CCCCAAAACCCCAAAACCCCAAAACCCCAAAACCCCAAAACCCCAAAAAAATAATCATATAGCAAAAATAACAAAATAAATTTTATAGTAAATGGCAAAGCAAGAGGGAGATTCAAAATTTGAACAGATGAGGTCACGTCGGCATATGCTTTCGAACTTGCCGTCCAAGACACCAGTGAAGAGGGACTCCAACTTGATTGGAGGGACCAAGCCTGTGAAGGCTAGGCCTATGAAAAGGCCAAGTGTGAACCCACCAATCCCTGCAATGACCCAACAACCACTTATAACAAAGACAACCCAAAAGCCAAAGAAACTTGAAATTGATACCTTCAAGCAATGCTTTGGTATAAACAAAGGTAATGGCGAGACTGAGTATATTCCAAAATAAACCGCCAACTCTTATGGGAGCGAGACACAAGAACTCCTTCTCTACTGGGATGACCTTCAACAATGACAGATTTGCGCTGGGGAATAGTATGCAAAAGTTAGATGGAATCCCTAAGAAGAAGGATAGGGACTACCTCAATGTCAGAGATATCGAAGGAGCCTCTTCTAAGATCAAGAGTTATATTATCAACAAAATCCAAGGCAAAAAGTCTGAAGTCGATAGATTTAATAACTCCTCATCAACTCTTGGTAATGGAATGAGGTATGAGCCTTCAGAGAACGGTAATGAGCGGACTTTTGATACCAAGAGATTTATGAGGGTAGATGACATCCCTGGAGCTAGGCCTAAAGACAACCATTCCATCACTGACTTAGAGAAGGACATGATCCTTTCGAACGATCAAATGGTTGAACACGTCTATCAAAACTCAAGCTATTACAAGAAACAACGTGAGAGACAAGGAAGACTCCCTTTCACTAGGAGAATTAACAAAGGGATGAACAAGATTGATAAATCATTAATAACCACAATGGATCCTTACACCGGCGAGAAGCCTGCCAACCCATACATGAACTTCCCCAGTTCTGAAAGACCAAACGAGCGACTAAGGAAGAATCTAGAGAGGCTTGAGGAAGAAATAGAAGCAGAGAAAAACAACCTCACTGGCCTTAGATCTAAAAGAATCAATGCAAATTCTCACAAACTTGGTCTGAACAAAGAGCAAGAAGCACAGTTAAGGTAAGCTCACTCATCTCACAAACTTTCTAGAAATCTCAAGCAAGTACAGGAAAAGAATCACGAGAAATATTCTAGAGATAAGCGCGAGAAGTTGAATAATTCAATAAATCGCACTATTGAGTATGCACAAGATTCAGGAAATATGAATGCATATCAGCCTAAAATCTCAAGTACTCCTCAGAAAATTCAGAGTAAAAGGGAGACCAGGCTTCGAGAGTTCCAGATTAGGTCCCAAAGAAAGCAAGGGAATGCTGAGAAGTTACTCGGAATCAACACTACTACTAAATTTAATGATTTTTCCCCTCAAAGAGAAGGAAATCGGGCTATAAACTTGATGAATTTATCTAATCAACTGGATAACAGAAATGTTCAGAAACATGTTGGCGCAAAACTTGAGCTGGGTAATGAGCCTGGCCATACTACTTATAATGCAAACTTTTTCAGACAAAAGTCTACTGAACCTGGACACTTTTACCCAAATAAGCATACTTTAATAAAGCCACAAGGTAAATCATTTAGAAATCATTAAAATTATGGAGAGTTAGTAGTCTCTTCACATCAAATCTTTAAAATTAGAAATAATTCGTAAAAAGCAAATAAAATAGCAAAATTGGAGGGTATTTTTTATTTGAATAATAACAAACTCACATTACTCCTTCTTTGATATCTTCACCAAAAGGTGGAGGAAAGCCCTAAAGTTATCAGACAGTACTCTGTTGCTCTTCTAGCTTGTATATCCCCTCAAAATTTCTAAATCTAATCTCATCTCTAGACCCTAAACTAGGAACACAGAAAGAGTTTGTTAGAGGTACTTTCATAGGTGGGAGCAGCAATGATTTCAATCTGAACAAGGTCAAGATAAACCCGATCACAGGGGTGCTATCCCCTCTGAATAAGGGCTCTGTTCTCTAAGCCGTTAAATGCCACTAATAAAATTATTCTACCTGTGGTCTTCAAAAAGGGGTTTTGGGGTTTTGGGGTTTTGGGGTTTTGGGG